TTGACAGAGATCGATGCAGAACTTGGACGGACCATATGTACTCGGCGATGATCTGTTCAGTGGAATCGGAGAGGTCGAGATTGATTAAATCTGCAAGTGCCGACATTTTTTATAACAAGAATCTTTAAAAAAATATATATATATTTTTTGTTCGTAACACTGAAGAGATTCCTGCAAGTGTGTATATATAGGGAGAGAGAGAGATAAAGGGGTAGGTGTGTGCTTGACTTTGTTATGGAAAATGATTTTGGTACAAAAACAAAGAATGCGGAAATGTCGGGCTATTTATTGGAAATGCGAATTATCAGGAGATTCTGGTTGATTCTGGGGTTAGAGATTCTATATTTGCAGAATCTTTTACATATAAGTCTGTTTTCCTTACATATTTGAATATTTCTAACTACCGTGGAGACAAAGTAAATAGAAATTCTTTTATGTGAAAAAAGAAGAAGAACTTTTTTAAAAAAAATTTGATACTAAATAAACTTTCTCACCTACCACCCTAGTTTTCGTTTACCAAACTTTTGGAATATGTAATTTTGCTGGAAAACAGTAATAAACAGTCAGATAGTTACGATTATATCTAAAATAGGAACGATAACGATAATAGAGAATCTTTTGAGGGAGAGGGTTTTATATGGGAACTTCATAATTTTGATTCATTCACTAATTTCTTCTTAACAAGGAAATTGGGAATATATTTTTTAGAATCTTTTTTTTGGAAGAGTTCGTTCTTATGTGAATCCAAACTAAACAAAAAAAGTCAATTATTTTTGCGTGAATCCCTGAATTTGGATGATTACCATGAATAGATAATATATTGAATGTTTATATATAAAAAAATATCTTTTGAGTTTACAGATTGAAAATGCATGACCAATTTTCTTTTTCTGTGTCGTGGGGCTCTAACATTTGAGTGGTTAGCAATAAGCTTCCACTAATTAATTTCAAAATCCCAAATATATCTTCTAAAGATTCATGTTTTTAAGGAATCTCTCACAATTTTCTTACCAAAAAAAAAGGAAATGAGTTACGTTATTCGTTTGCACGAGTATGTTGCACGCTTTACACTTACCGATTCAAAATTGTGTAGTATTCTCCAAACCGTAAATTGAGATTAAAAAAATGTATATATGTGTTGCTAAAACGTAAATCTTAATTTACAGTAAAATCTTGATAAATTTTTTTTTTAGATAAAAATAATCTTTATAAATTTATACTCACATGATGCCATTGGAATTGAGATCAGTCAGTACAATAGTCATTACCTTCCCGTGATGACTTTGTGCTTTTTTTCCTTGTATTTATGTCAACATTTTTTTCTTATTCTAAGTTTTAGATATAAAAATTCGAAAGCTCTTTATCTTCATTGGTGGTTGAGTCCTAATCATCTAATCACCCATAGTCCCAAGTTGTATTTTGATAGTGATAATGAATTGGATTGTAGTATCAATCGAAATGACATACATATGCTTTTTGTTTCAATCTTCCAACTATTATTATTTTTAAACCCAAAAAACCTATTATTAATTTCCTATCATATAATATCACAACTATACCTAATTGATCACCGAGTAGTCTGCATTTTAGTGTCTTTTTACCGTTATGGAGAGGTTTACTTTGAATTACATGTATTGTATACCACAACTAGTGGAGTACTATATCTATAAGTTATTGGTTTGGTGGTATATCCGAAAATTTTAAGTTTTTGATTCAAAGTTTCAACATCAAATTCGATTCTTCGGATTAAATATCAATTTATGGCGATTGACAACTTGGTGGTCCTGTTTTCTTATAGATGATTGGAGAGTTTTTTTTTTTGAGTCGCCACAGTTGTTTTTAACTTCTTAAGAATGTTGATTAAAATAAATGGAGACATAAACATTTCAAAATGGTATTTACAATGAATAGAGAAATTTAGTGAGCTCATAGAGAAATTTGCAAACTTCACTCACTCTTGGATCCCTTATTCCCATAACTCCAAAGCATATCGCTTAGCTAGAGCCTCTCGGTCTCATCTTCTTGTTTTCAATTTTGTAAACGTTTCTCTTGTGGATAATCAACCACAACCGTTTTCAGTTAATTATACAAGTTTGCTTCTGCCATTTCATGACATATAATTAAGTAACGTCAATTTATATTAGTTGAGTAACCTCATGCAATCAAATGGTCTTTAAACTAATAACTTAATTAAGAGCCCATTCTCCTTTGTAGAAATATATTTTGATAATTGAATGATCATTGATTAAGAGCCTGTTCCTTAGTTTGGATAAATGTATGGGCCTTAATCCAATTTACTATAATGGGTTAACCGAACAACAGTTTGGGCCGAAATAAAAGCATTGGTCGAACAGAAACATTAAGGATATGTTCTAATACATTCATTAGAGAATTTCTCAATATTATGTCATCATTACTAATATCTCAATGAGATATTTTAAAATATATCTTTTCTAAAATTTCGATCCAAAGTATTCCATGTAGTAGAGAATTTTTAATTTTATTTTGTTATTGAGGAAGTAAGTAATAAATGTGTTTACATATCCGGCAAAAATAATAATTAAGTATTCAATATCGAGTATTAGACATAAGAGTTGCTTGTTTCCCCATTAGACCAGAATAATTTTCCCTTTTCCATTAAACAACACATTATTTAGTTAAATTCCCCTTAGATTGATCATAAAATATTTCTTAATATAATATTTAACTCTCCCTAGATTTAACAATAGTTTTTGTCAAAAAAAAAAAATTAGTTCAATATGTAAATCAGACGATTTATTAGCTAAAATGCAATATTACACACAAAAAAACAAGGAAGATAATCTTTTATTGATTTTCTTTTTGCTTT